GGGGCGCGCTTCACACTTTCCCCAGACGACCCCACGACACAATCCTACCGAAGCTTTTTCCACAGCGTTTAATAACACAGGAAATTCCTTGGATATCAACAAACGCCGGTTTTTACCCATTTCCGCCTCTTTTTTCCCCATTATACTGCTATAAACGGAACTCATTTCTAGTAAACAACATTTTGCGCCTCAAGTCAACCCAACGAAAAAGATAAACAACATCAAATATGTGTTAAATTCCCCACTCAAATTTCGATTTGTTTATTTCATCAGATGCGCAATCTACTATACCTTAAAGATTTCACACGTGCAGTGTTATTATTTAAATACTTTTCATCTGTTCTGATAGTTTAGACTAGTTATATTCAGGGATGAATTCAGACTAGCCTTTTTTCCACATCTTGGAGGCTCCGGAGTTCGCGTACTTCGTGGCAATTATAAGGGCCGCGCACTTGTGGAAATTATCTTGTATTGGCTAAACAAATAAACCGTGATTTTAGTATACAATGATTCGCAATTTTTCAGTTTTATTTTCCAGTTTATTTTACGCTTGGCTTCACGAAAGTCAAGAGTACTTGAATGTCTTGACATGCTGTGTGTTGGTTTCATTGGTGTCATTTGTTCCCCTCCACCTCTTCCAGGCATAGCTGGTTGCGTCTCACGAACATCTACCGCCCCATTGGATCGTGTCAAGGTCATATGGCAGGCGCGCGGCGGAAAGGCGGCCTCGACGGGTTTAATTGGCTCCTTCAAAACAATGCTTCGTGAGGGCGGCTACGCCTCCATGTGGAGGGGAAATGGCGTCAACTGCATCAAAATCGCGCCCGAGTCAGCCATCAAATTTCAGGCATACGAGTTCTTCAAGAAGCTCATCCGGGGCGATCGTCAGGATCAGACTGTGGCCTTACAGGAGAAGTTTCTAGCCGGCGCTATGGCCGGTGCCACCGCACAGACTCTCATCTATCCAATGGAGGTTCGTGCGTTGCTATTTGCAATCTTTTTTATTGACTTTGTGATGATGCAATTAGTCAAGAGGGATACAGCGACTACGGAGGAAAGCTAACTGCTCCAAATTTGCATGTCAATTCCCTTGGAAAGTAAATCGGGCAGAATGGAGATCATACTTGCAGTCGACGCCCAAGATTGATGTCCTGCGTCCTTGTTCAAGGTCAGGTGCTTGAAGGTCATCCAATATCACAGTGACGCACTGACCAGCGGGCACTTGATCAACCTCTACACAAGGCCATCCAGGTAGTCGCGGTATTTGAACATGTCCCTTTACCCCACCCTCGGCCGACACGGCTACGCCGCCAGACACGACATCCCTTGGGTAACGTCACAAGCTACAATTTAAAAAAAACACTTGAACCTAGTCCGCTATCCTACCTCAGCAACTGCCACCACAGTCATTGTCTTTCAGGCAGTCAAACTTATACCTTAGAAGACGGAAATGCGACCATTGGAACAAGAGTTTTATTGTCCTGATGTTTCGGATTCCCTTGGGAATCCTTAATCATAGGTACTGGTATTATAGTCATATTCATGCGCAGATAGGCTTGAAAAATCCACAGCTTGCACGATATTTATGGTTCATAGTGATCATCTGCGTGCGTACGATAATTATCTAGTTCTGTAGCCAGCGCTTGCGTACTAATCGGTGCGGTACGGGCTTGACACTTCGCGTTCGCCTTATTAATTACCGTGATTTCCTCGTCCGTGTTGGATGTGAGCTTGGTAATTGCACGACAATTATACTCGTTGTCGTCCGAGTTGTTGTTGATGAGCACGGCCCTTCCCATGCGACTAATTCTCTTCCTCAGGCAATGTCTCAGTACGCACTATGGGAACGCCAAATCATTGCGCTTGTTGATGGACTGGGGCCTGAGAACCATGACCTGAGCAGCTTGCGGCTCATGCGGTTGTCACCTCTTGCAAGGATTTTGGCCTCGTCAAGCTTTTAACTCTATCCGCGCATGACTTTGACTATCATACCATTACCTATGATTAAGGATTCACGACGGAATCCTAAACATCAGGGAAATAAAAATCTTATTTCAGTGGTCGCACCTACTTCTTCTGAACTGCTTCTTGAAACTCGCGTAATCACCTCTTTTGGCAAAATTATACCTGGCTTTGCCAGTGTCCACTGCCCCCTGAGACAAGAACTTCG